AAGCCCCCACCACCGAAGCGAGCCACTCCCTCCGGTCTTCGGCCTTCCACCCTTCGACCATGAAGCTGGCCACCGCATCCTCTCGGGCCTTGGAGACGGCCTCTTCTTGAGCCGCGCGGGCTTCATCGGCAGCAATACGGGCGGCCTCGGCGGCGGCCTCCCCGGCCCTGGCTAGCCCCTCATTGACCCCTTCGGCCCTTGCAGCCTGCACCCTCTGCTCCATGCCGTCAGTGGCTAGCCGGAGAGAGTCCTCGGCTTCAGCGAGCTTCTTCCTGAGAAGGGCGGCCTCCCCCTCGGCGGCACCCTTGGCCTCCCTCATTTGATCCACCCTTCGGAGGTGCTCGCAGAGGCCCATAAAAGCCTGCAATTCACGAAGGCAAGAATAAGGCGTAATGAACATAGTACAGAAGGAAAACATAACAATGAGCAGAGAAGGGAGGGTGACTTACGGAGGCGGCATTCAGGAGGACCTTCGCCTCGAGGGGTCCCTCGTCCAGTCGGGCAAGGGCCAGTCGGTCGGCCGACGGCAGCATCTGGCTCATCAGAGCCGAAGGGTTCAAACTGCCCTCCAACACGGAGGCCCCCTTCGGCACTATCGCCTCCAACCTCTCCCGCCCAAAGAACTCCTGATTGATTTGTTCCTGGGGGGTGGAGGCAGAAGCGTGCCCTTCGTCCACGATCACCACCACATCGGTGATCGGTTGTTTGGTAGGGGCGGCGGTCTTCGGCTTCTTGGCCGGGGGCTCGGTCCCCTTTCCAGCAACCTTCTTTTTGCTGGGCCCAGCACCCTTGGACCCTCCGGCACCAGCAGCAGCGCCAGCAGTTTGAGAGGGCCCATCCCTGACAGAAGCGCCCGCCGGGGCCTTCTTCTTCCCTTTCGCATTTTTCAGAGCGAAGAGGGAACCGACGTCCATATTGTTACCTGCAAGCAACAAAAAAAAACAGGAGGGCTAGATCGAAGGCTACCAGTTACTACGTTAAAAAAATGAGGAATAAGAGAGAACTATCAACGCATCAGTGAACAATTCGGTGATCACCTCCAGCGCCTTCGAAGACCCTATCGAGGGGAGGGTATCTCTCATCCGAAGAGCCCCTCGGCCTGAACTGCCGGAAGCCCAGGCTAAGCAAATCCTCCGGAAGGGTGACTTCTCTGATCTTGACGTGCTTGTCAGACCCCTCCGGCTTCTTGGCAAGCACCTTGCCGTTCTTCTCCAAAGCTGCGCTCCCCACCTTCGGATGGCGCCGGAAGCTATTACGGAGCTAGGCCGGGAAGGGGTTCTCCTCGAGGCGGATGTAGCAGAACCTCTCTTTCCACCCCTTGTGAGACGAGGGCACATCATCAAAAAGCCGGAACTCCGGTACCTGCTGAAGGTTGGCAAAGCCCTCAGCATTTGAATGTCCCCCCCGGCAAAGGTTGAAGGACATGAAGAATTGATCGAGTGTGGGCTCGACCCCCCGGCTCTGACACAAGGAGAGGAAGCCGGCCACGTAGGAGTGGCTGTTGGGCGTTAGCTGGCAAGGGGCCAACCCAACAAATCTCAGATACTCCAAGAGAAAAGGATGGAGCGGGAACCGGAGCCCCATCTCCACCGAGAGGGTGTGAGCAGCAAAGCACCCCTCGGGCGCGTATCGCAGCAAATCATCCGCCCTGGGCTCCACCGCGCGCTGAAGGTCCAACCAGCATCTGGGTGGACTGGTATTCTGCCGGGGATGCCTTCGTCTTCAGCTCTAGGGCGGCAGTATTCAAGAACGAATGGCCCTCGGGTATGCCCACCGGCCGCCCGACATCCACTGCCGCTTGCTTCTTCCTCGGGGCCGCCTTCGTCTTGTGTTTCTTCCCGGGAGCCACACTTATGGGCGTCGGGTCCAATGGCCGGGAGGAGCTGGCTTCCCTGGCACCCCGTTGGGGGGGAATGGCAACAGTCACCTTCAGCCTTTCCCTCTCCTCTTCTTGCTCGGCGGTCTGCACGGCGAGGGCAAGCTCTTCGTCCTCGTTTTCTTGTTCGAAGCCCTCGGCTTCGACTTCGGCCTGGAGGTCCTTCTCCACTTCCATGGCCACTGCGGCGTCACCATTCGCCGAAGACTCCACGCTCGACGACTCCACATCTGAGCATGTCTCCATCTCTACCGAAGGCTCCCCCGAGATATCCTGGGAGTCGCTCTGTGATGACATCTGCTCACTAGTTCGAAGGCTCGGGAAAACTAAGGTTTCCTAGAATATCCTATCTCCTAGCCTAAGGGCACAATACAGGTAGCTAAGAGCTGAAGGGCAAGTGGAGAACTGACCTTAAGAACGGAGGATTCAACCGAGGGCTGCTGTTTCTCTCTCTAGAAAAATTGGCAGAGCTTCGCTAACAAAGTTTTCGCACACGGAGGAACGCCTGGCCTTGGGGTATTTATAGGCGATGGAATCTGGGCTTGGCCCTGGAAACCGGGCCTCCGGACGGACCGCCATCATTACACACCGCCGTTTCACCCAACCGGTGACGCCGCCCGCGAACGGCCAGCCATCACACGCCACGTGTGCACCCCCCCAACGGCTATAGCCTGTCGTTACATATTCCAACGGCTATATTCTGGAAGCCCCCGGGTTTTCTACTTCACTCCACTTCATCAAGGATAGCCTCCGGGTACACTCACTCAGAAGTGCCCCCGGACTGCGCCCCACACAGCACATAACAGACGCCTTCGGGATCACTCCTTCAGAAACCCAGGGCTGCATATCAGGGCACCCCTCGGAGATTCCCCCTCAGCACTGCGAAACCGGGATAGCCCCCGGGGAGTTGCCTCATTGACGGATGACCCGTGGCACCCAGGTAATGGGAGCCCTCGGGTACCTTCATCACCAACTAATCAACAAACAGTGGACCCCCCGGTAACAACTTCACTGCTGCCCTCATCTGGCAGGACCTCGATCCCTGGATTGAGGGGCTCTCCTTCGGCGCCACCAGGACATCAACAGCAAGCCTTCGGCTAATCAACACAGGAGCCCTCAGAAGAGAGAGCCTTCGGCATTCCCGCCATTCTCCATTTTTTACCAAGATTTGACATTTTCGATTCATCATTGGGGGAAGTCGGTGCACTCTTTTTCCCTCATTAGGATTTTTTCCCATAGGGTTTTTCCTAATGAGGTTTTTAACGAGGCATCCCCCCAAAATGAAACGAAAAGAGTCAGCCTTCGGCCCACAACAGCAACGTAACTACTTTACTCCTTTTCACCACTTTACAAGTGCCTCAAGGAGTGGGGGACTGGAGGACCCCCTCGGGAAAATCATTAAACTACAAAATCTGTGAAATTCCAACAAACAACAAAGCAAGCCCTCAAGTCCCGACATGTGGGTAACTGAGGGACTGCCTTCGGCAGGGACATAAAAGCAACAACTCCTCACCAACTTCAGAGATCACGACGGGACAACATCAAAGGGCAAGCACAGATTACTCCTTTTCCCTCAAGTACCTTTCGGCAAAAGGAGTGAGGGACTCCTGATGGAGTATATGGCCCGGGAACCCCCGGCCCACAGACTCCTACTACTCCAGCGAAGGCCCAACAGACCCAGAAGGCCCAACAGGCCCAAATCACAGCGCCCAGAGTACCAGCCAGTCCGCACAACGCACAGGGGTGCCTTCGGCCCCCTGGCCGAAGGCTCCAAATTCTCACAGAGCGGGTTTCTCAAGCAAATTAAGAAACTGGGAGAAAACGGCGAAAACAGTAGCCCTCGACACTGTGAGCCCTCGGCGCCAGGGTGCCATCGGGTGGAAGAGCCCTCGGTTACTGCTCTATAGCCGAAGGCATCTCACTCGACAAGATATCCGCCTCACATGCGTACAGATCACCGTACCCCGCACAGACGTCCCATCCAACAGCCGCATTAAATGCGGCCACATGCGGCTGCCAGCGCCAACCAGTTGAGGTGACCCCTCGGCCAATGAGCGCTTGACACGTGTCCCTGCCCGGCATTTATTGCTACTATAAATAGCACCCCTTTTCCCCATTTGTAACCAAGTGGTAACACGCTGAAAACGGCATTCATACTGAATACACCCTCTCTCTACTTTTATTCACTTACTCTGACTTCTCTCTAAACTACTCCCCGTAATAACCCTTCGGATATATACCCCCGGGTAGACTATCCATCATTTATATAGGCAATACTGGTGTCATATGAAAGATCGTAAAAAGTTATAAATGTTGATATTTTTTTATAAAAATTGGATCTATAATGAAAAAGTTAAAACACTTTAAAGAAAAAATGAGGTTTTCATAAAGGAAGAAGCATAGGTTGCCACTAAAAATTATAGAGATTGAGCGAAATAAGGAGAGATAGCATATGTCAATTTTTTTAGAAAAAAAGGGTTTAATAAGACATTCTACTATTATGAAATAGTCACGCCATGTACTCAATAAAGTGTTATATAAGTACATCTACTTGTAAAAAACAATCAAATGAGTCCTAATGACCTATTTAACACCTCTTAATCTCAGTTTCAACGTACTTCTGACCATCTTTTTAGAATACATTATACGACATATGTCAAATACTTCCTCCGTCCCTCAAAACTTTGTCAACTTTCCGTTTTTTGATGTCCCACTAACTTTGCCACTTTCCCTTTTAAGTAAAGAATTTGTGGTTCTAGTTAACTCTCTCTCCTCTACACAACTCTCAATCATACAGTTTTCACTTTATTAATCCACGTGTCGGTCAAACTTGTCAAAGTTTTAGGGGACGGAGGGAGTATATAACTAAGATCGGTTGAAATACAAGTAAAAAAAATCGACATGTAAGCTAAAATCGGGATTAGAAGGTGTTAAATAAACCGTTATGACTCATTTGATTGCTTTATATAAATAGAAGTACTTATATGACACTTTATTAAGTACTGTGATTATTTCATAACAGGAAAAGGCCTTATTGGACCCTTTTGTCATTTTTTTTACTCAAATGCCAAAATTCCGGATAAAATTGGCCGCGAAGAAGAAAAACAAAAAGGAAAAGAGGTCTTAGCATTCACACTCAATATGGAATGGAATGGTATTTGATTGAGCGAGTTCCACGTCTAACAAAAACCTCCCGTCAGGTTGACAATCAAAAACTCCTTTTCCTTTCTATAAATATATACTCCGTAAATGGTTTTTAGATTTATGCTCCGGCCGGGTAGATCCGTTTGAACTTTGAAGGATGGGAGGTTGCGAGTGAATATGGCGTCATCCGCAACAGCTGCTGCTGCTAACCCAATGAATAAGATCGAGAGAGCACACCAGATGTACAGAGAGGGGAGGTACGAGGAAGCACTGGAGTTCTATACAGAAGCGCTTTCTTTGGCCAAGACTAAATCACAAAAGATCGCCCTCCACAGCAATCGAGCCGCTTGTTTCCTTAAACTTCTCCTTTTCAACAAGGTGCTCTGCTTAATTACTACCCCGTGTATATAATCTATTCCCTTTAGGGGTGTGTTACTGTTTGCTAGCTTTTAAAAATATAGTATTGCCTTATGCAACCCCATTCAGTCATTGGATGATGGTTTGATTGGTTTCTCCTGGAAGAGCTTTTGTACTCGTTTGAACCCTGGAGTCCTGGACCTATAAAGCTTGCGCCTTGTGATTTACTTCAAAAGTATATATGTTTGCTTGATTCATTGCCCAGAGGGCCAAACTTCTCCATCACTAGAAGTACATAAAGGAACTTGGTATTGTCTCTTCCTAGTCTACTACTCCCCCCACAAAGGTCAGCTAATTTGAAGTACACCTGGAATAATAAACAAAAAATTGTGTCCTTGAAATTCGCATAAACGAGAGAGAAATAGTATGAATCACAAATTTATCACTTTAAAAGGAAATGACACAAATTTCACAAAATTATTACTTTAAAAGGAAATGTCACATATTTATTACTCCCTCCGTCCCATATTTATCTCCTGAAGTACAAATGACACACGGATTAAGATAGCGAGAAATGTGTGGTGGAGAGTTGTGCAGAGGAAAGAGAAATGTGTAAGAATGTGTAAGAATGGTTGTGAACCACAAATTCTTTGCTAAAAAGGGAAAACTGAGATAAATTTGGGACAGACCGAAAAGGAAAGTATTAAGATAATTCTGGGACGGAGGGAGTACTTTAGAAGGAAATCACAGACCTTTTTGGGACTGCCAAATAAGGAAAGCTGTTAAAACTTTTCTGGGACAGAGGGAGTATGAGAACTGGCTCGCAAATGCCAATAGAAAAAGCAGATTCTGTTTGCATTATGTCGTGCTTCTTGATATTTGTTCATCACTAAAACTTGTGTGAGATGGTCTCACAGAGTTCAATCCGTTAGAAGTTAGAACTGTCACTTTTATCCTAAAAACTGATACTTGAGCTACGGGTTTCAATATAAGGAATCCAAAGTGGTATGTGTTCCTCTTCAACAGTTCAACTTAAAGTTTTAAGCTATTAGTAAAAATGGACAATCACTTTATGTGTAAGAATGTATATTTTATATGCCTCATCTGTGTGGTATGATTTTATTTTTGCAACCAATATATGTTGATTTTTTTTTACATATTGATGAAGGCATTGACAAGTAAGATATTAAGATGTAGAAGTGGAACTAGGATACTTGATACCTTGTTCAAGTATGTGGAAAGAATCAAGTAAGAGTTAAAGACTGTTCTTAGGGTACATGTCTTTATTTTATATTTATCCTCAATATGTCATATCAGAGTTAGATTAGAGTCATGCAAAGATGAATCGTGACAATTCAGTATTTCACTTGCATTTTCATCCAAAAGTGTTGCACACGGACAAGATGTGTTGTTATACACAATCTAACCTTTGTACAGTGTGATCAATAATGCAATATACCAAATACTATTTTACATGGCATGAAATGTGAATGTTTTTTATATAACTATGCTGCGGTCAATTAAAAAGAATTGGGTAATTGCTGCAACTACTAAAGAGTGATACTCAAATAAAATTATTTCTGACTTTGGAACTAAACATAAATGCCTGAACACTTCTATTGAATGTTTATAATCCTGGTCGTTTTTTTCTACCCTAATTGAATTCTGAGAGATTATTCATTTTTCTGTAGGCAGCAGATGAATGTACCTCAGTTCTTGAGCTTGATCACAAGCACACGGGAGCTTTGATGTTACGTGCTCAAACCTTAGTCACTCTCAAGGAATATCACTCAGCACTTTTTGATGTTAACAGGCTCATTGAATTGAATCCATCATCAGAAGTATATCAGAACCTTCATGCTCGCTTAAAGACACAGCTGGTAATCTCTAAGCATTCTTGAACTTTGTTCTATTTCCCCACACTATTAAACGGAAACGGTAGAGTGTACTTAATATCCCTCAATGGATGTGCACTAGACCACTACTTACAAAATCAAATATACCATTTTTGTAAGAGATTACAAGACCTTAATAAATAGATTGAGGAGGCTCTTCATTTCAAGAGACAAAACAGGGATGCATTTCACATGTTCTTTGTTTTGTGAAGAGTCTCTAGGCTCTACACAGGAGTTTTCACCAAGTTAGTCCAAAGGTATTAGGTGGTCTCAAGTAAGTCAAATATTTGTTATATACCTAGATACAGGTGATATGTATCTAAGGCATATAACAAAGTTCAAGTTATGAGATATCTGCTGGCCCTGGCTGTTAATATTTTTTCCGGGTGAACTTTTATCAAGAACGGTACTGAAGAAGGGCTGTTTATAGTTTTGTGCCATACTACCTTATCTGGCGACTACCTTCACGAAAAGACATAAGGACACCACTGTGCTGTTCTTCGACCCTCACACTTAAAGCTATTTCTGAAGATTTTTTCGAGTAACACTTTCCTGATTGCTTCATCAACCCTCCGTCACCCTGGGGGGTCATTCTGCCCTATATATGCAGGGTAAAAATAGGCTGCGCCTCGAAAAACTTGACTATCTTGAGTTGTTATTGACATAACTTTAGAGTTCTTGTGTCCTATCGGTCATGGGCTCCAGTGCTTCTTCCAACACTTGGGGAATTATTTCTTTTATGCATAGATTTTAGGCTTTGAGTCAACTACATATGCAAATCCTACCAAACCTAAATTGTATCCTCAAAGTCTAAACATTCGACTCTATATCTCCATTTCCACACACAGCAAAGGAGGTTTCTTGATTGAGTTTTTATTCTTTTCATTATTTTGTATAACTACTTCATTAATAACTTAATATGTTTTTCCTTGATTTCGTTTATCTTAACTCTCAAGGCTTATTATTTTCATTTTAATTCTACCTTAGTTTTGTTTCTTTCTTAAGTAAATTCTACTCCCTCCGTCCCTTATAACTTTGCCAACTTTCCTTTTTTGGATGTCCCATTAACTTTGCCACTTTCCCTTTTAAGTAAAGAATTTGTGGTTCCAGTTCATTCTCTTTCTTCTGCACAAACCTCAACCACACAGTTTTTACTTTATTATTTCCCGTGCCGGTCAAACATGGCAAAGTTATTAGGGACAGAGGGAGTAATTGTTTCTATTTTAACAATTACAGAGTAATTCTTACTGAATTGTGTTTTTCTTGGTGGTTTTCATTATTCTGTTTATATATTTAATTAAAAACAAAATGCTAGTGTTAATTATTCTGTATATTTAATTAGTGTTTTTATCTCTCTTTAATTAAAAAAAGTTGTTATATTTCACTCGACTTAAAAATACTAATAGAGATGATGTAAATTCTAATTTCTTATTGGTATAGATCATCCTATCTTTTTCTTACACACACAAGGTCTGATAAGCAACACCATCTTTTGAATGGGAACTTTTAAGTTTTAATCTTCACTCTTCATTTCGTAATCAATGATATACATCCACAAGGTTCATTTTTGTAACTATCCTAAATTTGTAATTACAAAAGTGACACCTAAGTTAACGTTACATTAACTTGAAAATGATGGGTGGAGAAGTTCTCATTTAAGAGATTCTATACTTGGACATACTAACCTGACCTGCATTGGTTAGATCTGCTTTTGGCGACCCCCCCCCCCCCAACATGATTCAGAATTTTCCAACTACCTTGTTCGATTATGAAATGGAGACAGTAGTCACGCCAAGGCATTTGTATATGACGATGGCGCATTTGTGGCATCGCGGCATCGCCACATGACACAAAAAATAAATATTAAAAATATGAACTATGTGAAGTTAAATAGTTTAACAAATCTAACCAGACCATGTGAAGTTAATAGTTTAAAGTAGTTCAAAAAAATAACTGATTATCCAAGAATACCCAAAATAGTTCAATGTCTTCCAAACTGTGTCAACTTGTTTGTGTTTGATCATTATGATATAAATCATATAGTCATCATCAATTATCACTCACCAACATCATGTGGATGGAGATCTTATAACATTGTACTGTCATCGTCATTCTTTTCACTCTATATCAATCACATCTGTCTCATCTTCGTCTTGCAGTTGATGTGTTGTTGTTGCCCTTTAGTTGTTCCCCACTTGCACAGCTTTCTTACTCCGACTTTATGTTAGTTGAGCAGTTTTTCTTGTTTTACGTTAACTGGTGTCTATTTAATTCTTATTAGGGGTTTTATTAACATTATTGGCTGACTGGTTAATTATCAGGGCCAAAGCCCAAAACTAACTACATAAAGCTGTTAAAATCTGTTTAAAAATATGGTGCACATGGTGTGGCAATGGCGCCAATGTGGCACTGCCACTTGTGGAGTCATCGTCATGAGGGTTTTTTTTGTGGCGATGAGGTTTTGTATCACACTATCACCATATTGCGCCATTGACAAGTATGGACGTGGCATTCAATTTTCAAGCATTTGTGTTTGTATTCAAGTGCGTGCATTTCTTTTGAATTGTTTGGGCTTAATGTTCATGTTCAAGTTTCCATGTTCATACTGTTACATTGTGTTTTGTGTGGTTAAGATGTCCAACATATGTTAGTATGGTTAAAGAATGATCGTTATGTGTCTGTGTGATGACTGGTGAAGGATGATTACCAGGGGCGGATCCACGAACTTGAGAGCCCTGAGCTGAGAAGCAATTATACTAGACTTAAACATTAGCAGGTGGGCTGAATATGAAAAATGAAAACTTTACACTAAAAAAAATTAAGTTTTGCTGGGCTTCAGTCAACCATAGCCTGTACATAAATCATCCCCTGATGATTACCATGTGTTTGAGTGTTGCAATCTTGGAGTATTGAAATATATTTTACATGGTCCTTTTTTATGAAGAATCTCTACATAGGAGTCCTTACAAAGTTAATCAAAGATATTAGTTAATGTAAGAGTCAAGAGAAATGTGGTTTGTGATCCACTCATGCACCTATATATAGGTGTGATGTATCCAAGAAGGTTGTAAATTCATGCTGTGAAATATCACCAAGTCTCTTGTCATTTAATATCACTAACTTTTCTGGACCTGTGCAAGGTCATTGAGTCATATAGGTCCTTGATTGGTGTTGCTTGAAACATTGACTCGTGGTGGATGGGTGTTTGTACATTAATTCTGGACAGTTCACAAAGCCCCAACCTTATTTTAGCAATGTTTTTTACTATAATTATTAAACTTTGATATTGATGTTCGATTTTTTTTTACTCCAGGGGGCGTCTGGGGGAGAGGGGGGTTGGGGAGCCTGGAGTAATCTAGGCTGAAACTCACTCCATTGAGTTTCGAACCCGAGACCTCCTGTAAGGGAGAGTGAGTCGGCGACCAGCTGGGCTGGACCGCTTCCTCATGTTCGAATATTATTATGTGGTAGTGTTCTGCATTATGTGGATTATATTTCCTTTTCTCTATAGCATCACGTGCCTCTAACGTATAAGAGACCATTTTGCTCTTGTTTAAGGAAGTTGCTTGCTCCAATACCTGAAGCTGAGGCAGAAGAGCTTGAGGAAGAAGATGAAGAGGACGGTGATGATGAAAACATTGCTAAACTAATAGTTGATGGAGGGCATAGTAATAACAATGAATGCAACATGAATGGTGATATTGGAAAAGAAATGGCAGATACTCCGACAGACGAAGTTACCTCTCATTTTGGGAAATCAGTTGAACAACGTGCAGGATGGCAAGCTATCCCACAGCCAAAAGGACACTCACGCCTTGACTACTCTCGGTGGGACAGGGTTGAAGAAGAGTCCAGTGAAGATGACGATGATGAAGATGACGATGAATCAGATGAACCTAATCCTCAATATAGGTTTAGAGTTAAAACAGTTGGCGTTCGAGCTGTTAAATGAGAAAATAAAAATGATTTGCATGCTAGTTACCATTATTCATTTTTCCAATGACCTTTTGCATAATCCATCCATTTAATTAATTATTATCATAGTAAAAGGTTTAGTTAAAAATCTTTTTTTTTTACCAAACTCTGGTTGGGTCAGGCAAGACTCGGGTTGGCACACCCTTGTGGCACCAGTGCCATATGAGCTATTGTTATCTATATGGGCTTCAATGTACTGTATACACTATAAATGATGAACATCATCGGTCCCTACCCCTCCAATAGTCCAATTACATTGTATTTAATATACTGTTTTAGTGTACGCATTATGTGAACTTCCAAAGATCACGTGTAATAACTATTGTGTGAAACAAATAATAATGTTATAAAGTTATTAGATTGGATGCAACTTATATTAGAAAAACATAAGAGGTCGTATACTATGTAACTATGTTAAAGCATAATGATGCATCAAAGGTTTCACAGTTCACTACTTTCACGTAACAGAAGTGTTCCTTGGATCTGAAAAGTGAAGAAGAAAATGGTGTACTGTACCACACAGGAATATGGAAATGGAAAGGTGGAAATGCATCTTATATGCTAATCAGCTAATGTCATTTACATTGACCACACTTAAACCACAAGTAAAGCAAAGATCTACTCGAAGAACATTAATTAATCACATAATCACAAGTAGAGCAATACACTCATACTACACTAATCACATTGTACTTGAAGGCCTTCCTTGATTTGGCCATTCTTCCTCAATAAAGTTCTAAGATTGTAAGTGCTAATCAAGCACGGTTAGCGAGTTTGATGGTATTCGTTGAATCATATACCGATAATCTTACTATATACAAAAAGTAAGTGAAAAATTAGTCATTTTCCCACCAAAAAATACAGGTCAAATATGGGTCAATTTGTGCCCAATGTTTCTTGAAAATAGATGGATGAAGCACGCAACATTTTATCAGTTATTTTTGAAGTATCTAGGATTCTAATTATGATAAATATCTATCCACTCCTTAATATCCTTTGTCCAAAATAATCATCTTTCCATTTTCAATCTGGTCTTTATATTCCCTTTTTATACAATATATTATTTTTATTATATTTTGAATCTATACATAATTTAAAGAATTTATATCATGTGCATTGTTCGGGTGTAAATCTAGTACCTTCAAAATGAATAAAAAAAATTGTATCCACATTATCATATCAACCTGGGTTTGCACGCAAACTCAGGTTGGTTCCGTTTTTTAACCATTTTTCAATAATGAAAAATAAAACATACTCCGTAGTTCATAATATGGAAGAACTGGAACCTAACCTGATGCAAAAAATGGGGCACCTGAGTTATAAATTTATAATGCACTAGAGTAAGATGTATGTGACAAAAAACGAGCAGAGTGATAGAGAATAAATTTTAGAGTATATCTTTTGATTATGCATGGACTCGGGCCGGGCCTAGGCCCGGCCGGGCCGCTGGTTAGTAATTAATGGGCCCGGGACCGGCCCGAGGTCTGGACGGTTCCGGTTCGGGCCACCCACCGGGCCGGTTATATCCATTTTTTATAATTTATACTTTACAGTTTTATACAAGTATTAAAAATAAACTTCAAGTGCATTTATTTGAAATGAAATAGGAACTACATTTGACAATTAAGAAAAAAACATACAATATGAAATACATTTTGTAATCAATCGGAACTTCCCGCACCTCAAGGTCCTTTGGCTTTGTCACATGACTTAATATGCTTCATTGTCATCCCGTATCCGCGTGAAACCCCCATGCTACACTTTTTCTCGCACCATTTGCAAGTTGCGTACTACATCCCAGTCCTCAGGTCCCATATCTTAAAAATGGTAGATATAATAATTCTACAATAGATGGAGATGAAGATGGAGAATGGAGATTAGAGATTAGATGTTGGAGAAGATGTGTATAAAAATGTTAGAAAATAAGAGTATTTATAGAATTTTTTGTACCCCACCCCCACCCTCAGGACACCCTTGATTCTCCCACCCAACGGCTATATAGCCGTTTGGGTTGTCCCCAACCCACCCCCATCGGTCATTTGGCCCAAATAAAAAAATAAAATAAAATATAGCCGTTGTGACCCAGGCCCAACCCGGCCGGGTCACGTTTTATAGGAACCGAGCCCGCAACCGCTTAGCCCACCGGTTCGGGTCTACGCCCGGTCCATGACCGCCCGACCAGGCCGGGTCCAGGCCCACACAGTAGCGGGCCAGGCCGGGTGGCCCGAACCAAGTCCACCCCTGCTTTTGATGACAGCTTTACTCTGCCAACTTATCATGCATCACATTCTGGAGTTGCAAACAATCCATTCTTAATATTTGAACTGAACTGAACATCTGTCATCCTCTGCCAACACGAATGTATAACTCCCATGAGCGCTATAACAATTCGATCTACCACAAACTTTGTGTTGCAAGCTTGTTTCTCACAGGGAGATTTCATTAGTTAGAATAATTAATTTTCAATCTATTCAGATCAATCAGAATAATTGCACACATTCAAATTAATCACACTGACTTTTTCCCAAAAAATTGATTTGGATTTTACCTACCTGGTGAATCCCTCTACAGAGGGAGAAAACTACTTGTCATATAGATACAGCTCCTTTTCATTAAAGGCGGAAAGATTGAATGAAATAAATGTTTTAGCCCAAGGAGAATCATGACCTGTCTCCGCCACCCAAATGTACCTGCCACCTGCACTAGTGTTTTAATAGATTTGGACGCCATCTTTTGCCAAGGTTCTGAAAAGGCACCATTTTGTGCCCCACGATCAAATTTATTTGGTGACTCAGCCTGTTTCAACTGGCTTTTGAGATTGACAATGTGGCCCTCACACTGTTTTCATTAATTTTTTACAGTTCAGCTTCACATGATCAAAGAAACAACACATGGAAGCTTGGAGCATAAAAAATGAAATACTTTCTTGTCCTATGATGTGGACCGATTTTTCTAATGTACAAAGGGCAAATCGTTCTCAAACTCGTTACACGCTCATCGCAGATTTTGGGCCAAAGAGGTGCAGATTGAAGTTAAACTCACCCACCTGCTTCGTTTCAACTCCAAAGGTTACCCACCCGGGGCAACAGAGCACAACACAAGTGATTTGGAATTTAGGCTCAGTTGTTGTAAAGGTTCCTTTTTTTTACTACAGGGGGTCTAGGGAGGGGGTCTGGGGAGTCTGGAGTAATCAGGGCTGAAACTCACTCCATTGAGTTTCAAACCCTTATGTGTAAAGGTTCTTCATCAACACATAAACTTATTCATAGTTTCCGAAAGTAAAAAAAAAAAACTATTCACAATCTTGAAAGGATAGAGGGATAGCAGGTCTCCAAGTTGTGCCATCTGGACTATCCATCAAAGCAATGCCTAAAGCTGCCAATTCTTTTCGAATTGAATCAGATCTTTCATACTCTTTGTTCTTTCTTGCCCACATCCTTTCTTCTATTTTATGAAAAACTTGATCTTCCCTCAAATTCGCACGCGTTAGTGCTTTCTCTCTTAGCTGCTGTAGAACCTATAAACAAAAGGGGGGAGCATAAATGGGGCGAAAATATTCTATTATAGAAGAAAAATAAAGTGATGTTGCATAGCTAATTATGGAATTATTATGTTCAGTCATTTAAAGAAGATACATTTTTTCTATAATAATCAAAACAAAATACTATGATATGACTACAATACCCATCACGAATGTATTAATGGTATATACTACGGAACACTTATAGATAGCGAAGGAAAATAATGTACAACAGGCAATTTATGCTCTCTTGCTATTTATAAGTGGCACTTACGAAGTGATAATATTGAACAGCATGCTAGTTGCTAGAGTGGGAAATGGCTGGTGAGTAAAATAGAACACCGAACTTTGAAAATATAATGACTAGTTTAAGCACAGGAGGCAATCATATATCATGAAAAGAAACATTTTAATAGCTACATTTTATTCTTCATATGACTAAGACAACATATAATTAAATATGCCTAAACTGCTCATCACACACACCAATATGGCACTAAAAGATTAAAACAAATACGGAGTAATTAGTTTACCTCACAGTAATCACTTGGAATGAGCCCCAAAATGGATAGAGCACTCCTTATTGTCTTCTCTAAAGCAACAAGTGATTCTATTCGCAATCCTTGCTTCTTACCCTATGGAGAACAAGAAACAATTTCATAGTCAAGAAAATATATCCCCTATTGATAAAATATTGTTTTTGAAAATATCTTTCCAAAGTTATATGCATGACTTGAACTATACAAGTGGAATGAGTTAAAACAGATTGAAATAGATGGCAAAAATAGCGAGAGGATGGCATTCAGAGCCTGCTTGTTAAGCGTAAATTTTGGGGAAAACTGTCAAATAGGTCCTCGAACTTTCATAAAAAGATTAATTAAGTCCTTCTATAGGAGGTTCTGTCCGGCCGTCACGATTTGGGGCAGTTTCCGGTGGAATTTTTTGATGAAATGTTTTGAGCATCTTATTCACCAAGTCTAGTTTACTCATACCAAATTTTAGCTAAAAATTCAATCAGGAACACATTCAAATTAATTTTTGAAGATTACTGCACATTTTTACGTTCTCGAATTAATTTGAATGCGCTCCCCATTAAAGTTTTAGCTGAAATTTGGTATGGGTAAACTAGATTTGATGAATAAGATGCTCAAAAATTTTCATCAAAAAATTCCACCGGGAACCGCCCCAAATCGCGACGACCGGACAGAGTCTCCTATAGAAGGACTTAATTGACTTTTTTATGAAAATTCGAGGACCTATTTGAAAGTTTTCCCTAAATTTTGCTAAACTGAAGGAATTAGCTGAATCTACTTGAACAGCTGATTCCGCTGAACCATCTAAAATGGTATATTTAAAATAGATTACATTAGGTAAAGAAATAATATTAAAATACGATGCTAGAAGTGTCAGTTTCCTGCATTTTATACATAAATGACACCATTTTTTAATGTCACTGAGATGACTAAAAGATATTCCACATTTAAGTCTTGTGAGGGAATAAGCACAAACAAAAAACACTTATGACACTTTCTGGCCAACAAACCTAGTTTTAGAATCCAATTAACACTCAAATACCTTGCGAGTATGCAATAGATCATTCATCATCTTCAATGGATCTGACATTGCAGCCAGAGCAACAGGAGTATGCAGATCATCAGATAGTGAAGTCAGAAGTTCATTATGAAACTTCTCTATGCACTCAGCAGTTCCTAAAGGAACAGAATCCATCCAACATCCACTATGCTGAGCGAGAACAGCTTCACAATCATATAATGTCTAACCCAAAGAAAAGTAAATGAGTTAGTATGTATGCTTGTTATAGTTAAAAAAGCAAATTCAAAAAAATAAACAAGTGCTGGAAAATAAAATCCAAAGAGAATTGTCAATATTCAAAAGTAATATAATCACAAGCCAAGACAAATGCAGAGATCCTCAAGTCTACAAAAAAACCAGAAGCACTCCCTTCGAACCAAAAACACAGTCTTCTCCTGTGTACCAAACCTAAGGCCTGGGCTTGGTTTCCCTTTAATGAATGAATCCTAGGGAGTGGTCGCTCTTTTTTTTTCAAAATCGCGCCCCCAAAAAATATTTTTCCTCCCGCTTAACTCTCACATAAAATCTCTAGAAAGAAACAAAGGCTAAAAGATAGGCACCAAGAACCATGACAGCAAACATCTGCATTCCGCTGATCTAAATGAAGATGCTAGTTACTATGCAGAGAAGGTAAAGATAGATCTTTAACTACCTGATATATGTAGAAAACACGATCAGATGCACTCTCAAGCTGTGCAACTGTGTAATTAATAGGTGATCTATAATGTGTCCCCATTAAGAAAAGTCTTAAAGCCAATGGATGATATATATCAATAACCTGAGAGAATATAAGATGGCAACAAAGATTTAATAAAGATTGGATGCAGAAAGAAAGTCAGAAGGGAGGATTATGTTCATATACCTGCCGAATTGTGAAAAAGTTTCCAAGTGATTTTGACATTTTCTCTGAGTCAATATTGACAAATCCATTGTGCATCCAATAACTTATATTACTTTTGGTGCATGCCACACAACTCTGGGCAATTTCATTTTCATGATGAGGAAATATAAGATCAATCCCACCACCATGTATGTCAAAAGAGTACCCTAAATATGTAGCACTCATCGCACTGCACTCAATATGCCATCCAGGTCTTCCTGGACCCCACGGACTCTCCCAAAAAGGCTCTCTCTCCTTTGCAGACTGCATTACGACCATGAATCCATCAAGACAACAATGTGCTTCATTTACACAGCATTTATAGATACAACTACCCGACCCGAAAAACTACTTCTACAAGGAAAACAAAAACAAAATAACAAACTGAATATTAATAATGAAAGGACATACATTGCGGTTTTAGCTTTACATAACGAATAACTTCTTTGTGTTGCTCTATTGTCCATCTTAAATTAGATCAGGGTTTGAATAATAAAAAGACAGATTTATATTCTATTGATCACTATACATCAACAAGAGTGTCTTCCACAAATGCTAAGGATGCAAGACTCCTGAGCAATTGGCCAGACCTTTAGGCTTTACTGCTTGAGCCTTTGTTTGGCTGGGAAAAAGTAGGAAGTAAAGAAGGAGGGAGAAATAAGAGATAGATGTAGAATTCCTCTTGATTGGTTAGGAGAGAAATGAAAAGGGGATAAAAAATCCTCATTTTTTATTTCTTCTCCACATGGAGAGAAATAGGAATCATGTTCTACATATTTCTTCATCATTTCTCTCATACCAAAACACACACGAAATCTACCCCAATTCTCCAGTATTTATCTCTTCGTCATTCCTTTCTCGCCAATTTCTCTCTTCTTTATATCTACTCTAAAACTAAGCAAAGGCTTGGTAGTTAGTACAACTAGACAGAAACTACAGCAATGAGTTTGTGCACACATCAAACCCTTAAAAGCTCGTATTTGAAGTGGGATTAAAGGGAGCTAGCAGTTCTCACTTTCCACAAAGCAAAATCTGCAGGGTTTTTCTTCCTTGTATCCACTGCAACTCGCTCACCTGCTCTATTATCTTGCAACTTTCGTCCAGATAATTTTCCATATTCTGGAAATTTGTCTATAGAAAAGTAGACATCACCATCAATTGCGTAAGCACACCCATTATCAAGAATCTGCCAAAGAAGTAGATAAACCCCATTGAAGTTTAAGCATTAAGTTAGTGAATTATATCACACTAAGAGGCCGTTTGGTAACACTGAAATTGGTTGAATCAGCCGATTCTGCTGAAATTTCTGAAGTGCTGGCTGAAGTGGCTGATTCTGATGATTTATGAAAAAAAATATATTTAAAATATTTTTATTAATAAAATAAAGAAAAAAAATATGCAAAAATAGCTAAAATGATCTTCTACATTAACTTCATCCAATACAGCCAGAAAAGTAACTTCAACCTTACTTTTACTTATTATTACACAACTCATCGTGTGAAATCAAAAATTACGTGTTTGGTGAAAAAGTTGTTTGATAAGCCTGATAAGACGAAGAACAGGGTCACCAAACAGGATCTAAATGGTAAATGGATGCAACAAGTAGCATCGTGAGAATCAAGCCAATTTACAAGTTCATTGTGAAAATCATGTCATAACTCTATGAAGAGGTTGAAGAAGACAAACAGACTAAAAAGAGGCTGTTGCATCAGCATAATAAAACACACAATGATGTTAAAGCGCTGAAGTTTGTCAATGTGTTTCTATAATCACTGCTTATAACCAAATACTACTTATTCATAATATATTATACATCATTTCCATTTTTCCTTCCAACTTTCCTCTTTATAAACAGAAAATTGTTATACAACACTGCAGTTGGTTGCATAAAAATAGGTTAAATCGCTATTCAGTTCTGAATGGATTTATCTATTTACTGCTCAGAAGCAAGTATTACTTGTTCATAGACCACAACACATCTTTTATCTTCTAATTTTCCCATTAATAGAAAAAAAGGAAAACTGTCAATTTGGTCTTCGTACTTTCATGAAAAAGTCAATTAGGTCCTCGTACTTTTAAAAAAAATCAATCAAATCCCTGAACTTTGTAAAAATATTCAAATGAGTACAATTGCAGGTTACTTGCCATGTCAGCAGGTCACCCGCTGACGTGGCACACACATGGTGGTCCACGTGTGTGCCACGTCATCAGCAAATGGCTGACTGGACTTCCACATGCGCGCCACATCAGCCGATGACCTGCTGACGTGGCAAATAACCTGCAAATGGACTGAATTGAATGTTTTTACAAAGTTCGGGGATTTGACTGAACTTTTTAAAAGTATGAGGACCTAATTGACTTTTTCATGAAAGTACGAGGATCAAATTGACAATTTTCCCAAAAAAAAATGAGATAAAAGATCCAAAATAAATTGGAAGCGGAAATAAGTTTTAAGGTACACAATTACACACCATGTCAGAGCATAGTTATAATAAACCAGATAAAATTAAAAGCAAACCTTTAGGCTAAAAAGGAATATTATTAATGTTTATGAAGGTCATAAAGAAATATTGCAATTTGCAAGATCACCTGTTGTATCATATCAACTATTTGGGGCATATGATCAGAGACTCTTGGCTCCACCGAAGGAGGAAGACAATGAAGATATGACATGTCAAGAAGAAACTCTTCACAATACCGCCTGCTTAAACTGATAGGATCCTCACCCAACTCATTTGCTCTTGCTATAATCTGGGGAATTTGGAAAGTGCACACTCAATTATTAACAAAATCCCCTACAATAGGAGTAACACATGGACCAAGTTCACAAATATGACTAATTACATTTTATACTCAAAATAGGAATATAAGGCTTATTTAGTCCTAATAAAAGAATACAAGCAGGTATCCCGTCTTTTTTAGAAGTGAAAAGGTCCTATTTTGCAGGATAAGTGGTGGCCTTATTTGAGGAAACGTTTTATACTTTGATCCTACTGAAGGGACTTTCTCTCAATTATTCTGTCACTTTTCATCATTGTGAATATAAAATATGAGTTTGGTTATGAAGAAATAGGTTGTCGAACTACAAATAAGTTCGATAATATACAACCACTCACCTTGTCATCAACATCAGTGAAATTGCGTACATAATTGACTTCGTATCCCAAATGTTTAAGGTACCTGCCTAATATTAAACAACAACAAACACAATAACTTATCCCGTTATCCGTTATTCAGAGTAATCATTGGATTCTTTTTTTGTTGCAATAAATAACACACAAAAAAAGACTAACATTAATATCATCAGCACACAGACATGTTACATAACATCACTTAATCTGGGTCACCTGTAAAGTGCCATTATTAAGTTCTTGAGCCCAATAAATGTATATATAGATGGATAAGATACTACGATGGGCACGTAAAACAAACTTAGTGATACAAAAGCACACATTTGAAATATCATTGTGGGGAAAGAGTAGTTTCCAAGGCATTTCTTGCAAGTTCAATGCTTTTAGTAGCTTCAAAACAACAAAGATTACAACTCTTCACACTTTTAAGCTTCAATATCGACAATTCTGTATGGGTGCAAGGTATAATAAATCAAACTACTCTCAAGATTCACAAGCCATCAACTAAGAACATACTTGGAATTGCAAACAATCATCATACAATATTAGTTTTGGACTTTTTTACACAAGTTCCTCAATCTCCATTATTTAAGTGGACATTAGTTATCAAATAACATTCTTAATTTATAGAGAAGTATATATAAAGGCTCCTGGATGTTGCAAAGTAAACAAGTACTGTCCTCCATATTTCAGAACTCAGAAGCCATAATGCCTGACAACAATCATCAACTTATATCAAGTAAAAATGCATAATTTTACACCATATCACAAACATATTGATAGTGATTTTTTGAGGAACCTGTAGAGAACGTCGAAGCAGACATAAACACGAGCATGGCCAATGTGGCTAAGATCATAAGCTGTTACACCGCACACATACATTCCGACTTTTCCAGGTACTTTGGGTTTGAACATCTCCTTCTCTTTGCTCATTGTATTGTAAAGCCATAACTGGTGGTTCATCAGCTGATTTCCATTTTTACCTCCGCATGTATTGCTGTTCTCTGTACTAAACGTATGCCCTGATGAAGAGCCGAAACACCTGACCATAAACCTTGTTCTGGTGAGAAAAGGCACAAACCTGCCTCTGCCGGCGGCGGAGAAGAGTTTGATGCGGCGCAAGGGGATCAACTTCTGCGAGTCAAGGACAGGAATCAATGGTCTGCAACACTTCAAGAGGGCCGCTTCCATGGCTGAAAGAATAGTGTCCACTCATAAACAATAAATTCACTGTATTCAATTTCTTCAAGGGTTTTCCTCAATAAGACTAAAGGATAACTACAAAAATAGATTACATTAAAAAGAATCCAAAAAAGACCCATTGTTGTAAATTCCTGAGAATGACAAGTATGAATTGTTCATAGTTGTCATCAGAACACTAATCCAATTTCCATTCTTGTAATAGACAAATGACTAGGTTTAATATTGTCAGCATATTATGTAGAATGATTTTTTGATGATTCATCACCAAGCTCCACCAGTATAAATAGGGGTTTGGTGATGCCTTGTAAAGACACTCAGAAAATCAGAAATTCTCAGATTAAGAAGAAGATATTCAGAGCTTTTATTAATTTACCTATCTCTTAAATTTGCTCTGTATATTCTTCATTTCACAACAAGTTATCAGCACGAATCTGTTCAAACTCTTCAAGAAATCATCATCTCCTGCAGGTATTAACAATAATATCTATTATCTTCTTTAATCTTCAGAAATCACAATAAATGATTTAGTATTCAAACTTTGAAAGAAAGCTCAGTTCTTTTTTTTTAAACCGTACACATCATAATTATACCAAAAGAATTAAAGAAAGTATGAATAATATACATACCTTTGCTTCAAGATTTCAGGATAGTCTTTTTTCTTCTTCTTCTATTATCTTGATACATAGTTCGGTCCTTAAAATGATGTAGCCGAAGAATATATGACTTGAGAAAATATACTTCATAGTTGATAGCAAATTAGAAGATTGTGTGTGCATCGTAATAATAGAGTAGTAAGTAAAGGAAAAACAATGAAAGAGATAAATGCTGAAAATAAAATAAGAAGTAAAGAAAAGAAAGTAAAACCGAAAAGAAGAAGTTAACAAGGATATTTATATATTAAAAGTGAAGGGCTAGGCTGAGAAATGAGTTATGTGTCTTACATGCAGAATTTTACTCATCATTATATAATTAAATCCACTAGATGACATGATCTTGTCTTGATGAGAGAGGTGTTTTGTTTCTTTGTTATCACGGATGATATAAAACAAACTTCACTCAGCAACATAGTAATTTAAAATTAATACTCACTGCTTCTACTACCAAACTATAACAAACCGTCACTATTTTATAAATTCAATGCGCTTAAATAATTTTGTCAATAACAAATTCGGTGGTCCTATGGCTGCCATTTTTTTTATTTTCCTAAATAACAATATCAACAGGAGTTATAGTATATATACAATGATTTAATAGTCACATAACTACGAAACTAGATCACATGCATGATACATCTATTAGTATATTATATTTACTTTTCTTGTAAATCCATTTAGACACGATCGATATTTACTAGATTATAATTTATTACATCGAATACATCTTCATTTACATTATATTATAGAATAAACTAATTACTATTTATTTAATGTTCCTAGCAACGATTACATTAACATAGATAATATAAATAGATTTATTTACTCATTAAATCAATATTGTTGTAGTATCATGGCAAATATTAGCAAGAGAGAATTTGACGTTCTTGATTTGTCTGGTCAAAAATATTTGGAATAGAAAGTGGATGCTTTAGCACATTTGAAGGTTAACGGTCTAGAAGACATTATTGAAATCAATAATCAATCATCCTCCCAAGACAAAGCAAAAGCTATAATTTTCCTCCATCACCATCTCCATGAGAGTCTCAAATCTGAATATCTTTTAGTTGATGACCCAAAAGAATTATGGGACGATTTACGGGAGAGATATGGCCACCAACAAAAGGTCTTTTTGCCTAAAGCTCAGTACGACTGGATCAATTTAAGATTCCAGGATTTCAAATCAATCAGTGACTATAATTCTGCCATGTTCCAAATAATATCTAAGTTAAAGTTATGCGGACAAAAAGTAAATGATGCTTATATGTTGGAGAAAACCTTTTCTACAATGCATATTTCTAATGTGTTGCTATAGCAGCAATATAGAGAAAAGGGTTTTAAAAAATACTCCGACTTAATATCAGTATTATTGGTAGCTGAGCAAAAATAATGACCTTTTGATGAAAAATCATAATCTGAGACCCACTGGTTCTAGTGCTTCGGTTTATGGTCCATCTGGCCATAATTTAGTCACTGAATCAAATGCAACATACAGTGGCAGTAAAAGGCATTTTAAACGTGGGCATTTTAATGGTCATAAAAACAAGTCACATCGAGAATATAAACAGGTCAATAGACCAAATTATAAGGGCGGGGGCAAACAAAAGACCCATCAAATAAACCGCCCTCCAAAAACCTCGGTAGAGACGACTTGTTATAAATGTGCCATGACGGGGCATTGGGCTAACAAATGCCGTACTACAAAGCATCTGTTGGAATTATTTCAAGCTTCCATGAATTTGAACAACGGCAAAAATATGGAAGCTAATTATGTCAACGATACGACTCCACCTCTGCCAAAATTTGACGTGTCCGACTTTTTCGCGAATGATGCCATTATGGACGATGCTTTTGCAATAAACCAAAATGTCACAAAATAAAATATTAGACTCCGATCCTTATGTTGTAACATATTAGTTTTATGTACTTTTTCTTTCTTCCCTTTTTTTCTTTTGTTTTTAAATAAATGTGTGTAATATATGTACTTTATGTTAAAATATATGCACAATTTGTGATCAAGCTTATGTTTATTTACACATTTTGAAGATATGGATCACTCAAATGATAAAGAGCTATATCTGATAGACAGCGCCACAACGCACACCATTTTGAGAAATAAAATATATTTCTCTCAAATGACTTTAGTTGAGGCTAAAATCAATACCATATCAGGTGTTGAGAAGCTCATTGAACGCTCTGGGAAAGCATATGTGATGCTCCCTAACAGGACAAAAATTATTATAAATGACGCTTTATACTCTAGCAAATCGCGGAGAAATTTATTAAGTTTTAAAGATATGCGTCAAAATGGTTATCACATAGAGAACCATGAATGAAAACCAAAAGGAATATATGTATCTTACGACAACTAAATCTGGCACTAAATATATTTGTGAAAAAATGCCAACATATTCCTCAGGACTATATTTCACATATATAAGTCCATTCGAAATAAATTTGGTTTCTAACACAAAGTTAGATGATCAGAAAACATTCATGTTGTGGCATGACCGTTTAGGTCACCCAGGCCAAGTCATGATGCATAAAATCATTAAGACTTCACTTGGACACCCATTAAAGAATATCAGGGTTCCATTATCAAGCGATTTTCCTTGTAAGGCCTGTTCTCTTAGCAAAATGATCATCAGGCCTTCTATAAACAAAATTGCAACTGAATCACCTGCATTTTTAGAAAGGATTCAAGGAGATATTTGTGTGCCGATAGCCCCACCATGTGGACCATTTCGATATTTTATGGTGTTGATTGATGCTTCAACACGTTGGTCATATGTCAGTCTTTTATCGACTAGAAATTTAGCATTTTCTAAACTCCTTGCTCAAATTATACGATTAAGAGCTCATTTTTTGGATCATTCTATAAAAAAATCCGACTTGATAATGCAGGAGAATTTACATCCCAATCATTTAACGACTTATGTATGTCGATTGGGATTGATGTGGAGCACCCTGTTGCTCATGTCCATACACAAAATGGTCTTGCTGAATCTTTGATTAAACGATTACAATTAATCGCCAGACCATTATTAATGAAGTGTAACTTACCTTCATCAGCTTGGGGACATGCTATTTTACATGCAGCAAATTTAGTTCGGCTTAGACCGACTGCATATCATGAATATTCCTCAATGCAATTAGTTACTGGATAAGAGCTAAACTTAGCACACATAAAAATATTTGGTTGTGCTGTTTTTGTTCCGATTTCTCCACCTCATCGTACAAAAATGGGTCCTCAAAGAATGTTGGGAATTTATGTTGGATTTGAATCTCCCTCAATAATAAAATATCTCGAACCTGTGACTGGTGACTTATTTACAGCACGGTTTGCAGACTGTCATTTCAATGAGACAGTATTCCCAACCTTAGGGGGAGAAAAGAATAAATTAGACCCAAGTACGAAAGAGATAACATGGAATGCAACAGGGTTATCACATCTTGACTCAAGAACAAATATATGTGAGCAAGAAGTCCAAAAGATAATCCATTTACAAAATGTTGCAAATCAGTTACCTGATGCATTCACAGATACAAAAGAAAATGACAAAGTCACATATTCCTGCTATGAATGCTCCTGCCAGAATCGAAATTCCAACAGAGAATTTTGAAAAATCTCTTGCAAATAATTCTTCTATACGCAAAAAGCGTGGCAGACCACTTGGATCAAAGGATATAAAACCAAGAAAAACTAAAATGCAGGAATTGGTCTGTGATGCCAAAGATGTTCATCATTCTAGTTTTTGTTCTTGTTCATTCTTGTTCAGAAAAACTAAAAGGCAGGCCACTGATATTCATGTTCTTGTTGAGAAGGACTTCTAGTTTTTGTTCTTGTTCTTTCTTGTTCAGAAAAACTAAAAGGCAGTCCACTGGTATTCATGTTCTTGTTCAGAAGGATGAACATCTTTGGCATCACAGACCAATTCTTGCCTTTTAGTTTTTCTTGGTTTTATATCCTTTGATCCAAGTGGCCTGCCACGTTTTTTGCGTATAGAAGAATCATTTGCAAGAGATTTTTCAAAATTCTCTGTTGGAATTTCGATTCTGGCAAGAGCATTCATAGCAGGAATATGTGACTTTGTCATTTTCTTTGTATCTGTGAATGCATCAGGCAACTGATTTGCAACATTTTGTAAATGGATTATCTTTTGGACTTCTTGCTCACATATATTTGTTCTTGAGTCAAGATGTGATAACCCTGTTGCATTCCATGTTATCTCTTTCGTACTTGGGTCTAATTTATTCTTTTCTCCCCCTAAGGTTGAGAATACTGTCTCATTGAAATTACAGTCTGCAAACCGTGCTGTAAATAAGTCACCAGTCATCGGTTCGAGATATTTTATTATTGAGGGAGATTCAAATCCAACATAAATTCTCAGCCTTCTTTGAGGACCC